AAACTTCAGTAAATCATAGAAAATTAACCGTAACTCCAAATTAAATAATTTATATATGAAAAATTATCAGAAAAATTCAAGGAATCCATCTGTACCATTTTCATGCATGTTAGAACAACTTATAGCTGCTGTTTAGCACAAATCAATTAAATGGCATTTAAATAATCACATATGGAGTTTGAATTTGAATCTTGTATTCAAACCAACTTCATTTAATCTGTTGCTAGTTGCATTGGCTCAAAACACATTCATTTTGCCATGTCATGATCATGCATCATATTGTGCATTGCATTGATTGTGTTCCCTTTTGTGTTGCCGGTATTTGTCCCCTCTCGATAGACGTGTACCGATGATGTGATCGTTGACACTGATGAAGACTCAATGTTATCTTCAGAAGTGCCAGGCAAGCAAAACCCCCTTGTTCATTCCGATACAATCCTACTCTCTCGCTCCTGCTCTCTTTTACTGCATTAGGACAACACCGATTCATCTGTTACTTGCTGCGGTAGCTGAACCCCTTTATCCTTTGCATGACCTGTCATTGCCACAGTAAATAGATGAAACCCACTAGCATGAGTAGGAGTTGTTTGAGCCCTGCTGTGCCTACTCATTCATGCTTGTTTGTCATGCCTGCTACTGCTTAGAGTTGAGTCAGGTCTGATTCATCGGGGATGAATCAGAGGCGTGTGAACATGTCCTACTGTGTGTGAGCTAAGTGTGTGAACACGATTTGGTAAAGGTAGCGGTGAGAGGCCATGTAGGAGTACATGGTGGGTTGTCTCATTGCAGCCGTCCTCAGGAACTGAGTTCTGTGTTTGTGATCCATGATTCAGCTACTACCATGCATTGGGCCCTGAAATATGACCCCGCTCGACTTCTTATTCACCCTTGTCCTCTGTCCAGGAGTTGCAAGTAGTTTCTAGTGTTTGTAGTATGCTGGAGGCCGTGGACAGCGCTGACCGTAGGGGTGGGCTGTGATGCGGTAGGCACGTGGCCGGGTATACCGGGCGCCCGTTTGGTGTCACGGAACCCTGTTCACATCGTTTGGGGCTGTGAGCGAAACTCCGGCCGGATCTCCTCATGGATGGAACCCGAATAGGCGATAAACCTGGACTAGAGACTTGAGTGTTTAGGTAGGTCGTGGTCTACACCCACGTCGGCTTTCGCTTGAAGTCTGCCGAGCACATGTCGTGTGCAGACGCTAAGTGGTGGAAACATGTATGAAGAAGTACACCCCTGCAGGGTTAATATCATCTATTCGAATAGCCGTGTCCGCGGAAAAGGACTTCTGGGTTGCTTATATCAGTTCATAGACAAGTGAAAGTGGATACTCTAAAATGCGCAAGATAAGCGTGAGTGCTATGGAAGGCGTTCTCGTAGGGAGACGGGAGCGGATCCATAGTGGTGTATTGATATGGTGAATATGTGGACTCGTGTGCGCCACCTCAAAAGAGTCACTTGCAGTCGTAGTTTAGGATAGCCACCGAGTCAAAGCTGGCTTGCTGCAGTTAAACCCCACCACCCCTTTGTTGAAAATGATGCATATGTAGTTAGTTCTGATGTAAGTCTTGCTGGGTACATTTGTACTCACGTTTGCCTATTTTATGTTTTTGCAGAGATACTTCAGTCTCACTAGTAGTTCCACGTGGACTTCGACGTTTAGCTTGATACCTCAGCTACGATCTTGTGCCCTCGGCAGGATCTGATCGATAGTCAGGCTTCTCAGCCTTTTTCATTTATAGATGTCTGTACTCAGACATGATAGCTTCCGCTTGTGCTTTGACTTGTATGCTCTGAATGTTGGGTCATGAGACCCATGTTTGTAATATCTCGCTCCTCGGAGCCTATTGAATAGATTACTTGAGTCGTAGAGTCATTTTGTGATGCCATGTTGTATTGCACATATCGAGCATATTGTGTGTATGTTATTGAAATGCTTGGTATGTGTGGGATCTGACAACCTAGTTGTTTATCCTTGGTAGCCTCTCTTACCGGGAAATGTCTCCTAGTGTTTCCACTGAGCCATGGTAGCTTGCTACTGCTCCGGAACACTTAGGCTGGCCGGCATGTGTCCTTCTTCGTTCCTGTGTCTGTCCCTTCAGGGAAATGTCACGCGATGAATATCGGAGTCCTGTTAGCCCGCTACAGCCCGGTTCACCGGAGTCCTGCTAGCCCAGTGCTACAGCCCGGATTCACTCGCTGATGACCGACACGTTCGATGTTGGGTCATGGATGCATGTCCCTGTAAGTTACTGCCACTTTGGGTTTACGACTAGCCATGTCAGCCCGGGCTCCTTATCATATGGATGCTAGCGACACTATCATATACGTGTGTCAAAAGGCGCAAACGGTCCCGGGCAAAGGTAAGGCGACACCCGTGGGAATACCGTGCGTGAGGCCGCAAAGTGATATGAGGTGTTACATGCTAGATCGATGTGGCATTGAGTCGGGGTCCTGACACAAGCGCCGAGACCCACCCCGCCTCCATGGCCATAGGGCCACCGGAGACGGGATGGACCGGCGCCGGCGCTGATGGGAGGCAGAAAGCTAGGGTTCTTGGGAGGCGGCGGCTAGGTGGGAAGAGAGCTGCTACATGCACGACAGTTATCGCACGAAACACGGACGACATGCCATATCCACCATCCAAGCCCAAACCTAAAACAGCACCAGCAGTTGGATTAGTCATCGTCCGAGCGTCGTTCAGCCAAATGTCGTCTGTGAAGTACTTTTGAGGTGGAAATACATCACCTAAATGGCAGTACCATAATAGGGCTGCAGTCGGGGAATTCCAAGACACAACAATCAATTTAAAGACAATATTTTGTTAAGAAAACGGAGGGGAAATGTGTGTTTTCACCTCTCAACCTTCATTTGATAAATCTAAATGGTTGAGAAATAAGAAATTATCAAGCTTTCGTGAAATTTTGAGAGATAGAGGGTGAGTGTGTTGATTATGATGAAAAAAACTTTTACAATAAAATCACAAACAATTTTCAATTTTGTTATCTTTTGTACCAGGCTGCGTGTTTTATCCGAGGCCGGCGAAGATCGTGCGTGTTGAAGGGGATTGTCTGAGCCTGGCATTAGCATTGAGAATCACCTCATTTTCACTGGCGAACTGAGGTGTATCTTTCTCCCGTGTCTCGGCATATTGTTCCTTTTAGTTATCCGAACTTGATGTCACATCATTACAAACTCAAAGTTTAGCTTACAAGCTCTTATGTTTATTATCTTACCAATATTTTCTTTCAAATGCTTTGTCGTAATTCAGATCTTTGATGCTACCGGACATATCTTGGATTTAGTCTTTGTTAGTTTTTGTCGTAGTACTGGTCGGATGGTGGACAACTTTCTATATTGGCATGATAAATGTTCTTTAATCTTTTGTATTACTGCCATGTTGTTTGATTGGTAAATTATTCTTCAAGTTTGTAAAAACATATTTATATATTCTGTATCCACTGCAATGCATGGGTTCTTACCTACATATTAAATCTACATGCAATTGATGTCATGTTCGATCACAAAATTAAAGACTTGGCTTAGTGTTTATTCAATGCATTTTCTTGTATTCTTCAGTATTAAGGCGTTGTTTTAAGTCAATTTATTGGGATAGGGACATGAAAACAATTTCTCTCTTAGGGCACAGTATCTTCTTTTTTTTCCTGTGAGGACTCATGGCACAATATCAACCATATGAAAGGATGTCACTCGGCATACGTGAGGAATTGTAATACTCATACGGTGCCACACAGGTGGGATGGCGCTTGAGCCATTGTTAGTTAGAGAGTGCAATTTTTTTCAACGCACCGGCATGTATGCTAGTATTAAAAAAATTAAATTTATATCCTATATTTTTTAGTTTTTTCACAGATTTTTACTATAAAGTACTTCCTGTGTCTATAATATAGGATTTTTTTGCAAACTAAAACAGCTTGCAAAAACGTATCATATTGTGGGATGAAGTAGTAAGCATATAAACCAGATTGAAAAAAAGTACTTCTTCCGTCCCATAACGTAAGACGTTTTTTGACACTAGTGTGGTGTCAAAAAATGTCTTACATTATGGGAGGGAGGGAGTAGCATATAAACCAGCTGAAACGGGTGTACCAGATACCGAGGGGGAAGAAGGTATCTACTTATCCAGTTTGCAATATGTACCTGGTCTTTCACACACAAAAAGAAGGACCTGGTCAATTTTTCAGTGCTGAAATTGTAGAATACATTTTTTACATCCGTATTAGCTACCTCTGTTTTCCAGAAGGAAGGAATAGTACGCTTGCGGCAACGGAGTGGATATGGACGCAAAAATGCTAGATACACGGGCTACAACAACGGGATTTTAGGGACCTGCTGACTTGTTCCTTTTTAATTGGACTAAGTAACCATCTCCTCCTAATTAATCGGGCAAAAATGCTAGACGTATAAAAGATTACAGAATTCTACAGGATTTTTTGATCTAGTAACCAATCATAAACTTGCTCCCCCTGATTTTCAGGGAGATGGACCGTGTTTCTCACCTATTGACCAATTAAATTAACCCTCTTTGTAAAACCTTGTAACTCTTTTGTACGTGTGGCGTTACTCTTAATCGGGCCCCTGATTTTAACTGGTGGGGGTGGGCACCAAGGCCCGTAAAGCCCCGTAAAGCTCCGTTGATGTAGCAAAGACGATATGGACGCCGCGGTGTCCCCTCGCTCCGTATCGTCGAGTTTTTGTCTGTACCGAAACGTGCGAGCAATGGCAACGTGAGAAACAACGGCGACCCTGCCCAAACGTGCCGCTCCTTCCGGCCAGCCCGAACCAACCGCAACCGCCTCCTCCTCCCTATAAATTCCACGCGGCAGCCTCATCCACTCCAGCCACACACCATTCCAGCACCACCACGCGGTCAACACAACAAACGCATTCAGATCCGAGCTCCCAGAGAGCCAGCGCCGTCAGAGCTCGTCCAGATCGGCCTCGCGATTCCGTTTCTTGCCACGCGTGCGCGCACACCCATGGCGGTTGCCGTCGGAGGAGGAGTGGTGCTGAGCCTGCGCGTCCCGTCGTCTTCGGCGTGGCCGGCGGTGGGGCCTCGGCGTAGGGTGTCGTCGTCAGCGGCGGTGAGGTGCGGGGCGACGCGGGAAAAGAGGCCGGCGGTGTCCCCGGGCGTGGGTCTGGAGGAGGACCACTACCGGACGCTGCGGCTGGCGCCGGGCGCCACCAGGGGCGAGGTCAAGAAGGCCTTCCACCGCCTCGCGCTGCAGTACCACCCGGACGTCGTGCGCCAAGAAAACTGCGTGGACTTCGAGCGGATCAACGCGGCGTACCAGAGGGTGATGAGCAACATGCGGGAGGCGGAGGCGAGGCTCGAGTACTGGCGCCGCCGTTACGGCCTCGCCGACGAGGACCTCGACCGGTACCGCCGCTACCTCAACGAGGAGGACGAGGACGACTGGTTCGCCGACCTCTGAAACGGCGCCTACACGATTCTTGTCATGGCAGAGGCAGCAGCACTGTAATTAATTTGTGAAATGTCACTCCCCACTTCTCCACCTTTTTTTTATTGTGGAGGAGAGCTAGAGACGCAGAAATTCAGGGTTTTAGAGATGTAGAAATTCAGGGCTCCAACGATTGTAATTTGAACATGTCCATTTGTATTCTATGTGTATGGGCGATAAAAACACCACGCATCTGCTACAGAAAGATTGCTTTTAACATGTTTCTCATATGCTGCTATACGTATGGGTACAAGATTTAGATCCGAGAAGATATGTTGTTCAAGTACTATATCCATGTGTTTATTTTTTGAACTAACTTTATCCGTGTGTTGATTAGCCATGATGCAATATTAAGTATGTCTTTACTCGATCCCTCAGACGCGATATACTAACAGGAGATGAGTTAAATCTGTTTGTTATTTTATAAAAATTACATCACCATGGCTAAACATTTGTCTGCTCTCACATCCATACTGAATCGTATGGATCAAAGGTTTTGACATTACCGAAAAAGACTTTCGCCCCGCTTTATATTATAAAGCAAACCGCCCAAGTCAAACATCTAACAAGGTTCACACACCCACACACACAAGTCTCACAGAAAAAATAGTAGCAAAGGGTTAGTGCTGAGAGCACATCTCAACAAGCCCTGAAGACAAAAAAACTCGCCCACACGGAGGGCCAGAATAGATTGATTTGTGGGCACTTGGAGGCCTGAATCAGTGCGTGACAACTAGTTGTCACATGAGTACATTATCAATCTACTCCCTCCGTCTCATAATGTAAAACATTTTTGACACTAGTATGTTTTTTTATCAAGGCTTTCACATTGAACATGTCAATGGTGAGATACGATCGGAGAATACTGAAAAGAGGGATACTTCTTTCTACTAACGGTCTGATTTTTTGTTGGCGCCGGATTAGGGCATGTACAATGGTGCTATCTTAGGAGTGCCACGTAGGTTAAATGCTGAGGTGGAGGAGAGAGAAATCGTAAGAAAATGTTTGTCTTCTTTTATTTAAGAGATGATCTCTTAGCACAATATGTCTCATCACGTTTTTAGAAATTACTAGTTATTAAAGATAAGGCTAAGAGATAATCCATTGTAGACATCTTTTTATTGTCATTTCTAAACTACATGCAAGGCTTAAGAGAACATTTGTTTTATCAACCACTGTACATGCCCTTAAACAAAGTGACACTCATCATCATTTGATGGTACCTACCTGTTTTAAGGATTTGTCACTTCTCTTGACAGTCAAACCATAAGTTCAGGAGTACTCCTATATAACTTTAGTTGTTTAAATATGTAAACTAAACTTTGGGCTTTCAATCAAATTGAGTGTCTGATCTATCATATTACTTGGCCCATATTTCCCTCCTAAGGTAACACGGTCCTCAAAAAAATTTCTTGGGCGAGATTCCTTTGTGCATCTATCCTCTCTCTACTTTCAGTGACGGCATATTAATCGATCGTAACATTGCTTGATTAACCAATCATCCAAAAGATCATACGCCCAAGAGATCACGTGGTCAATACTCCACCTATGGTGCCCAAAACCCGCGGCCATGCCTAGGTATTAAGTACTCCCTCTGTAAACCAATATAAGAGTGTTTAGATAACTAAAATAGTGATCCAAACGTTCTTATATTAGTTTACGGAGGGAGTAGCGAACTAGAGACAATTAGGCTGGCCATAGTGGGAGTAACATAACGGGTAACATGCGCTTGAGACTAGCAAACATGCTTATGTGGCACACAATTAAAGAAGAGGGAGGGGGTTAGAGTAACATAGGTAGATATCATATCATGTTAAATGCTATGCTACTTTGTGTCATGCATGACAATAAATATGATCATCTATGATACTACTTTATGACACTATGCACTATGAAGGTAGTATCATACACTAGTATCACATGCATGATACTAGTATATGATACTCCTTCCGTTCCATAATGTAGTGCCTATAGTTTTTTTGAAAAGTCAAACCTCACAAACTTTGACCAAGTTTATGGAGAAAAATATTTACATCTAGAGTGCGAAACATATATCACTAGATTCATCATATGATGTAGTTTCACATTATATATTTTTGCTATTGTAGATATAAATATTTTTCTCTATAAACTTGATCAAACTTTGCAAAGTTTGACTTCTCAAAAAATCTATAGGCACTACATTATAGAACGGAGGGAGTATTTCCCACTATGAGTAGCCTTACATTAAGCTTTGTGACGTATTGTTGAGAGATAATCTACTCCCAAACAATAAACAATAGTTTTATAAGACCGGCCTGACTTGTCAGAGCCTTGTACTCCCTCCGATCCTTTTTACTCTGCATATAAGAATTGTTTGAAGTCAAACTTCATAAAGCTTAATCATATTTATATAAAAAAATATCAACATCTACCATGCTAAAGTTATACAATATGAAAATTTAAGTCATGACACATCTACTGATATTTATTTTATTTTGTAAATGTTGGTATTTTTTTCTATAAAGTTGGTCAAACCTTATGAGGCTTGACTTTAGACAAATCTTATATACGAACTAAAAAGGACCGGGAGGGAGTAGGATGGCTTTTGAGAAACAACGCGGGAATTTATCCTGCCAAGCAGCTGGCTGCGACTACGAGGGAAATCCTTCTCGTGCGCAGGTCGGCCGCGTCCTTCAACATTTCCAGGACTGAGGTGGTCACCTCAGAAGCAACTCGACAGTTGGAGGCCGATTGCATGAAGACATTTTTCGGAGAACGTCTCGTTGAACCAGTTTGAACTCGGCTACCGAAGACGATGTGGAGCTTGGGTGACCCCAGGTGCGGCCAGACTTGCAGCTGCTTCAGGGTCTAACAGTGTGCCGGCTGAGGGATCTCTCATCATGTCGGCTCTCGGCCGGGTCCGCCAGGCTGAGGACCCCTAGGTCAGTTCCACGTCGGGCGGCCCACGACGAATTACACAAAGACTCCAGATGATTTGGCATACAAGACAAGAAGATGGAGTCGTGGAGGACTATAGCTCCACCTATGTAGCCGACTAGGATCGATATCCCTAGGACCCCCTATATGATATATAAGTCGGGGGCAGGCTCGTATATAGACATCGTACAAACTCTTGGTACTTTACCTGTACTCCATACACACCCCAACGCAATATAGACAAGCATGACGATGGGTATTGTCTCCTCCGGAGAGCCCGGGCCTGGGTAAAACCTTGCTCCTGTTACCATTTTGTCAAGTCGCCTAGCTAGGATACCCTATCGAAAGAGATCTGTCAGATTGAGCTACGAAAATGATGCACCTGTATGTTGGTGGCAAAGCATTGTTAATGACTAGTTTCAGAGTTCTATGTTTCCACTAGGTATGGCTTATGTTGATATATCATCAAACTTATGCTTCAAAAAATCCATGCTTCCATAGTATCCTATCTGTGTTTCTTCCGTTCAGATGGTTTATGCAACATAATCCTTCTTCGAAGTATACATCCTTAGACACCCAATGCTTCATGTACGTATATTTTCAAGCTTCTTTGTACTAGTTGTTGTTTCCTACATTCTATTCTGATACAGCATGCCTAAAATGTTTATGTTTGAAAGGTGTTGAATGTTGTGACATGCTCGCCGGCAGGACGAACAAGCTTTTGTATTACGAATCATGAATGCAAACAAATGAGTTGGCAAAGGAAATTAGTTGCAAAAATTCCAGTGGCGATGCATACCTCTGTCACACGATGAGAACCTCAATCACGCTTGGGCTGCTTTTTTCCTAACACATGGAAATAACAAGCGATGATCAGAATGTAAAGCTTCACACAACAAATAGTCAGCCTGCCAGGTGATTTCGATTGAAGTTTGTCGTGCATTGGCCCTTCTCTGGGGTGAAGGCATCTCACGTGGCTGAACGATGGTTCATGTCCTCCACTACCCAAGCGGGCCGGCGATGCAAGGTTTCTAGTGTGGGTGGCAGCGACGATGGTGAGGACATCAAGGGGCGACGGGGACAATGAATGCAACGGTTGGCTAGTCTCTCCTACTACAGAACTGCATCCAACATAATAAACTGACTCACTGATCTTGCTGCTCCTAGTGGACTCGATGCCACTTCGCCTGATGCCCTTGTTCAAGTCAGCATCTTGTCCGATGCTTCCTGCGATAGACGCCACCGGTTCATCAACATGACTGGCTCTGCACCTAAGAGTTGGAATGTGTGGTTTGTTGTCACAGATACAATGCTTCTCGGTCACATGTATGAAGTTCCCTACAGCCTATGTATAAGTTTCCTTTGGTTTACTACCACACACGTGCTTCAGAATCATATGCAGCTTGTTTCTAGCTTACATTATGTTTTCAACTACATATTTGGTTCATTCTTTACACAACCATGGTAATGTTTCGTTGTAATTCATTTGTTACTGCTTCAACACTTCTCAAACTATGCTTCCAATGGCTCACTACCACACAAATGCATCTATACTACATTTTCCATGCTTCAACCATCATAAAATTGCCTTTAAATACAAAATCACACATGGTTCGTGGTAGAAAATGAATCATGATTTGGAGCTAGAAGAAGACTGCGAGTCATGGAGCATTGCTTGTAGTGTTAGAAGCTTGTTTATCATATGACGGAAACAAGTATGGAATGAAAGGAAGCATCATGCGTATATGGAAACATACATGCATGATTGTAGTATATGGAAGCAATGTGATTTTTGGAAGTCTGTGAAAACAAATTATGGAAGCATATTTTTCTGTTAAATCGAAGCAAACGTGAGTAGTGTCGGAAGCAACATGGAGTAACAACAGAAATAAAATATGTTCCATGACAGAAAAACAGTAGCAAATTGAAGCATTTTTTCACTAAAAGCAAAATACATTGATATTTACAACGAAGCAAAACATGTATCAGATGCAAATTCTACGAGCAGTAGAAACAAAATTTCATCGAGTAGGAAATATGTGACCAAGAAAAGT